AGCAGCAGGTGTATCTCACCAGAGACAAGGAGAGCTGTTAGGTGTTTAATGTGCCACGTGTAGAAGAGGAGAGGGTTTTGAGGGGCTCAGAGTGAGTGGACATGGGTATGGACGGCTGTTTCTGCAGCATGCAGGCTGCGTGAGAAGTGACAGCTGGCCCTCCCTGCCAAAGAACCTGTCTAAGGATTAGGGACCTGGCTGGAGTGAGGGGACACTTGATGAATAGCGTGAATGATTGATGGATAAGTAGATGACATGATGGATATGGATGGATGGATGGATGGATGGATGGATGGATGGATGGATAGAAGATTGATCGATAGTTGGGAGATGATAGGGTAATGTAGGTGGATAGATAAAAGATAAATATACATACATAGATAGGTATGTAGGTAGATGGTACATAGAACATAGATGATGGATAGATAGATACATAGATAGAAAAGAGGGAGAGATGCAGCGGCCTCTCTTGAGTGGCCTCCGGTTGCGGGTGTACGTTATGTTATTGCTCTGAAGTCGAAAGGACCTCAGCAGCTAATCATGTCACCAGGCTTGCCATGTCCATGTTCCGAAAGGATAAGGAGCTGGCACAAAGTTGGGAAGGAACCAGGGAGTGGGATTGACAGGAAGATTAACCTTATCTGGAGTGTGGGTTCCACCCCACATCCTGCTGCAGCAGAAAGCCTCCCTGTCTACCTGTTGGGATGCCATTCCTGGCTCCCCCGGGGGTTCCCCTCCCAAATCTCTCTCCAGGTTAGCCATATGTAGATGACAGCGGCTCAGTCAGGTCTATTGGGCTACAACCCCCGTGTCTCCAGGGCTCCTTATTTGGAGCATTTCTCGGTATTTTCTCCCACGCCTGCATGTCCTCCTTCAGCCCTATCTTTTGTGATATGGCCATTTGCCCAGACCAAAGACGGAAGACTCGCCCTTCACTCCCACCAACTCCATCCTCCTACGTCCCATCTGTTAGCAAATCCTGTCGGTTTCATCTTTTGCTCTTCTCCGCCCATGCTCCTTTTTTCCACTTCTGCTTTTTTTGTTTGTTTTTCCGAGACCCACACCCCTGACATATTTTTGGGTTGAGTGCAAGAGCTCTTAATTAGTTTCTTCCCTGGACTCCTCGGACACTTTCAAGGTCTCAGGACTTCTCTCAGAATACGTCTTTTTTTTTTTTTTAAATGTACAAGATCACATAGATTGGATTTCCAAGAGGAAACCGCTTATGTTAAACCAGTTGTCCAATGTGCGGGCAAAGAAGCTGCCCAGGCTCCGCACGGCTCATCTGCCTGCCTCTCACCCTGCTCTGTGCTGATGTCTGGATGACGGCTCCCAGTGCAGACCTGCCTACTAACCCTTCGTGGCCTCCAGGTTCTTGGCCCGGGTCCCACAGCTCTCACCCAGGCCTCCCTGTGACATCTGATGCATGCGGGATGGCAAAGCCTGGGCTCGGGGGCCACGGGGCTCAGGTGTTGGCAGTTGGCATGTGTACACAGCACCGAGTTCTCCAGGGGGGGGCTGCCTGCCTGTAACGGGAACATGGTATAGTGGGGGGGTGTTCTGTATGGGAACTCAACTCCATGTGGAGGAGAAGTGCGCTGCATCCTGCTGGCAGACTTACCCAAGGCCGGTCACTCGGGCCTCTCCAACTCCTTATGGCTTCCGTGCTCGGTCCTCCTGCCCGTCAGTCCATCCACCCACCCGTCCGTCCATCTGACCAGGTATCATTACTCCAGCCAGCCAGCCAGGCAGCCAGCCAGCCATCTGTGTATCATTATTTCCTCACCCATCTGTCCATCTATCAATCAACCTTCCTCCCTTCTTCCCTTCCGTCCATTCACCCATCCATCCATCTTTCCATCTATCCACCCAGCCACCCACCCACCCATCCATCATCCATCCATCCACTTACCTCCCCGCCCACCCATCCATCCCTCCATCCATCCCTCCATCCATCTACCCATCTATCTATCCATCCATCCATTCATCCACCCACCCACCCACCCACACATCCATCCGTCCATCCATCCACCCACCCATCCACCCATCCACCCATCCAGCCAGACAGCCAGACAGCCACCCATCCACCCACTCCTGTTTTACCTATTCTCCATCATTTATTATATTTAGGATCTATCTTTAACCATCTTTTATCCATGTTCACTATAGACAGAGAGTATGTCTTTCTGCTACCTGTCCATCCATACATCCGCATATCCGCCCGGCCTCCCATCTCCCCGCCCACCCCCACACTAGTCCCTGGTGCCCTCACGTGTGCCTCCAGCCAGCATAGGTTGAATTCTCAGCAGTGCCTGTATTCTCCATGCTGTTTCCTGGGGGCCCAGAGAAGACATGCCGGGTTGTCATCCTCTCTCCTCCGCCTGGAGCTGCACAAGCAGGGTGTCCGTTTTGGTGCAGTGTTGTAAAGGGGAGCAGGGGCCACGGTGCCCCAGGCTGTCGGCAGAGGCTGGGTCCAGGCGACAGGGTTTGAGATGAAGAATCCATAGCAGGCGTTTGCAGAGCTGGCCACACGCCGGCATCATGTGGATAGGCCTGCAAACCCTGGTGCCTGGGAGAAGAAATCTCAGCTTCATTCTGGCCTGGAAGGATGACAGATGGCTTCTCAGAGAAGGCAGCATTTTCTCAGGGCTTGGAGGCATGAATAGGAATTTTCCTGGTATGGAAAGAAAGGATTGGCATTTATGGCAAGTTGAGGATCTGAACAAAAACCCTAGATGGTCAAACTGTGTGACTCCCAGGGCCTCAAAACTCATCTGAAACATGCTAGGGGGGATTTCAAATTTTCAGGGGATACCCAGTGACACCACTTGGATGCCACGGGTACTGTGTGCTTGGCTTTGGCTTTGAATGAAAGTACCGTCTAGTCTCGGTATGCACGGATTCCGTGTTTGCGCATTCACTGACTCGCTAAAATTTTTAAGAAGTTCATTATTCACTACTGTCTGTGTTCACATAGCGGCAAGAAGTGTGAATGGCCTTTCGGCTCTGCAGCTGTCCACAAGTGTCCTTTGTGTGGTTGTGTGATGTTTTTGCGTTTTTGTGCTTTCTGTGTGTGACCCTGCTGTTTGCAGCAGTTCCTGGCTCCTCCGTGCAAGAACGGTGGTGTGTGCCCTACGGAGAAGATAAAGAGGGTTACGGGAGTGTCTGTTGTGCGGGCGCTGGGCAGGGTGCTGTTGGCCCGGACCCCCACAGCGCAGAGACAATAAACTGCCTTTCAATAGAAACGCACGTAAAACACGGTTATGTGTTCATTGGCTGGTGAAAATGTGACCCGAGGCCACCGGGATAACCTGCTAATTCCCCCGGGAGCCAGTGACTAAATATTAGCTCGTTTGGTATTCCTGCAGCTTTACAAAACCTAAGTACCACCGATAAGGGACATCAGAGTAATTAGTAAACAGAACCGTCCAGCCGGTGTCTGAGCCTCGGGCCAGGTTCCAGACCCACAGTGGGCTCCGTGGCCTGGTAAAGTTTGGGACCGGCAATGGGTCATTTCAGGCCAGACAGAATGGGTGGGTTGGTGACCTCTTTAAAGGAAGAACCATAGCCGGGGAGGTGGCTGGAGGCAGAGTTGGGCTTTAAGTTGGGTTCTGGAGCTTGACTTTTGGGGAGCAGTGCCTCGGTTTCCCGTTGGAGCAAGACTGGATTCATTGGGGTCCTGAAACCAGCACCCTGCAGCAGGGGTGAGGGGGCGAGGGTCCTGGGCCAGCGCGGCCAGCGTGACCTGGGGGCTTGATAGGAGGGGGGAGTCAGAGGCCTGGCCTCAAGCCAGTCCATCAGAGTCTCTGGGTGGGGAGAGCCCAGAAGGTGTGTCCCCAAAGCCCCTTGACATTTCACTACATTCCCCGGGGGGTTTTTCCAAAACCTGACGGAGCTCAGAGCGACTCCCCACCTCCCCCCAGAGTACAGAAAGGGCATTTCGAAGTAATTCATCCCTAGCTACAGAAAAATACAATGTTTCCAATGTTTAACAATGAAATAAATTGCAACACCGCTTACCATTGCATATCGCCCCACGTCTCTGAAGAGACGTGGGCCTGACTACACATGTCCTGTCTCCAGGGCCCTGGGTGCTGGCCTAGAATTACCCACACGTACTTCATTTATACCTGTATTTATATAAGTTACAGCTTGTATAAGTTATGTAATTTATAACTGCACTCATTCTTATAAATATAGCTTAAGATTATTCTAATTTTATTCCTAGAATTCATTTCTAATGTATTTACTTGTGTTTATATGATTTATAAGCTCTGTGTGTATATTATAAATGACATAATTTATCATTATATTAACTGTGCAATTTCTAGATTTGTTACAGTAAATATCCTTCCTGAATATAACATTTCTATCTCATTGCTATACATAGTTACTTATATAATTCATAAACTCTATGTATAAGTTATAACTTACAGAGTTGAATTTGATATTATAAATACTTACATTTTATTTCTATTCTAATATAAAATGGCCACATAGAAATAGTGTGAAATTGTTGCCAAAAATGGCAGCCGCAGGGCAGAAGGCCTGGGGTTTCCCTGTTTGCTGGTATCGCAGGAGATTAAAAAGAATTTATGTGTTTTTCTGGGACATCTAGTGTTTTTTACAAGGAGTGTATTTTGTGCAATTACAGAGAAGTTGCTAACAAGAGGCATTTTTCTCTCCATGCTGTTTCCATCATGGATTGGAAATTATTCCTGATGTCAGAGGATCTACTTTTTAAGAAGAATGCATGGGCACATTTCCCATGTTTCCCTAAATTCATCAATTGTTTCCAACATAGCCTAACGTTTTCTTACTTTGAGGCATGAAAGTGATTGTTTGAACAGAGAGAGAATTCAAAACCCAGGACACATTTTTGACATGCTGTTGGATACCCCAAACATCGCAAGACCCAGAAAAATATGCCCCTTTGAAAAAATTGTTTTCTTCATTTTCAAATGTACTTGTATTTCTAACTGGGCTCTTTTTTCTCGTAGATGAAGATTTTAATTTATTGGATGCCTTGCCTGGTGAGTCACAGGGACATCATTTTTTTAAGTACGATGAACGTTTTATTTAAACAATAGTAAACATATAGTTGGAAAACGCAGGGGCTAAGCACACTGACAGTTGCTCCCCAACACAGCTGAAAATCCTCATATAACTTTTGAACCCCACACCCAAAAAAAAACTTAACTACTAATAGCCTATGACTGACCGGAAGCCCTGTGGAAAACATAAACAGTCAATTAATGCATATTTTGCCATTTATATGTATGATAGATTGTATCCTTACAATAAAGCAACCTAGAGGAAAGCAAAGGTTTCTTGAAATGGTTGCAAACCTGCACAAAATTTCCCAATATACTTATTGAAAAAATCCACGTGTAAGTGGACCCGTATAGTTTGAACCTGCATCGTCCAAGGGTCAGGTGTATATAAGGCACTTGAGAGGGACTGTCCCCGGTGGGCATACTGACGTTCCGAGGTGCCCCACGCCTTTGCTGGTGGTGTCTGTCTTTGCACGGCCACGTCCCCGCGTGTCGGTCCCTGTGTGTAGCCACATTTCCTTTTTATGGAGGCCCTTGTCCTGTAAGGGTGTGCCCTCATCTGCTAGGAACTCATCTTAAAGCACAGACTGCTGTCTGCAGAGACCCTGTTTGCAGGTGAGGTTCACGGAGTGGATGTGAATTTAGGGGGCATGTTATGCAGTTCAGGACACCTTCATAACTCTTGTGGGCTGTGGAAAAGGCTTGAGTCCAAACCGTGGGTTGGGCTGTTCGCAACAGCCTGGGCCACCGTGAGAGCTTTCCGGAAAGGGGGTGTGGCAGATGACCTCCACCTTCTTTTTCCAAATAAATGGAACGCCTTTGAGAATTGACTCCATGTCCCAGTTCACGTTTTACTGACTAAAATGTCTTTTCTCTTCAGATAATGCCCCGAAATCCACTCCAGTCCCCAAAAAACCTTCTGCCGGTAAGAAGCAAATGTTCCTGGTATGTGCAGGGGATGGGGATGTCACTGCTGGGGTGCGGAGGGGGGCCCGGGTCCCTGAGAGCCGGACGGGACGTCAGCAGCCGGGTAGATGCGTGATTCAGGGGCTCTGGGCAGAGTCTGCTCAATACTTGCATTCTGTTGTGATGGGACACCTTGGCATCCTGTAATTGGTGTAGGACAGTGGACGCCAACGGTTCTGTGATGTGTTTTGGGGACGTTGGGACAGCACCTCTGGGTGCTTTGACTCTGAGCACCTGAGACTCTCATTTTGGATGTTTATTTCTTAGGAGAAGCCATTTTTGGGGCCGAGATGCTTGTACCATCCCAGAGCATACTCAGATCTCAGCCTCTAGGGTGCGCGAGCTGGTTTTCATTACAGAGTGCTTAAAAATTATAGTCAGGAGTCAGGGACAAATGATGGAATTGTTCAAGGGTCAGATGCATCGTCGGTCAGCCGCCCAGAGGGACACGGATGCCAGGGTTATGGACGTCTCACCACGGTTCATGTTTGTATTTCACAGCTTAATAGGTCTGGTTGAAAACAGGGCACTGCTGTGCGGTGTCACCTCTTGAGTGGGTGGATGACTGGCTTCTGCCCATCCACATTCGGCTCCTTGAATGGTGCAGACGTGCAGAGGGTGCTGAGAAGTAACTGTGAATGACTGGCTGAATCTGTACCGTCACGGTCTCCTTGCGTGGACTGTATTCCCACGCGGGATTCATGATAGCTCACACCCTTGTGTTGGCCGGATACACACGTGTCTCTGGAGGTAGCCAGAGCTCGAAATGAGTTCTTAAAACTAAGAAGGCAACCTTTGAACCATCATGAATGGTCCCATCCTCGCGTGGAGCGTGCCCGGGTCCCTAGAACCACATGGTAGGTCCCGTTAGCCCAAATCTGAGCCAACATATCCATCCCTTCCCTGGCTGGGCCTTGCAGAAGTTTCTGGCCACTCGGCAGGAGGTGGCGTTAGAACAGGAAGTGCCTGCAGGCTGAGTTGGAAATCCACCTGGGTCCGTGAAGCGTAAGGGATGTATACATTCGTCTCATTTGGGGGGGAGCGTGTCTTCGATAATTCTCTTCACAGGAGAATGACATGGACATGCTCAGGGCTTTGCTGTTTCTGTGGCAATGCTGGTCAGGCTGGTATTCAGAAAAGTGTTTAGGGACGTGGAGATGCACCGTTTAATGGGTTAGGAACTGACCTCTTTCCGCGTTTCACCCAGGACTTCGGTATTAATGCCCACTTTGCCTTTTAGATGGTGGCGGCTTTGATTTAGAAGATGCCCTTTCTGACACAGGCCAAGGTAAGTCTCTCTATTCAATATCCTAGGTGGTTGAATTCCTTATTAACAGCAGATTATTCTCATTTCCAAGAGCCTTCTCTCTTTTAAAAGATACGTACAACTGAATTTTGACCAGGAGAACCGAGGGAATGGTGTGGTGGTGGTGTGGGTTCTTGTTCTGGTCCTATATGATGCGTTTTGGGTTAAAACTGTCACAGCTTTGGAACACCACCCGGTAAGTGTGACCTCTACCAGGGGTGCCCTCTTGGGCATGTGACCTGCGCCTGTACTCCGACAAAGCCACGTTCTTGGTTGAATGCTTCGTGATGCCTTATTGAAAGGCGTAATATGATTTGGAGATGAGACCCTACATTCCATGTACACGGGGCCCCACATGCCCCGTCGCTGCCCCAGACACCTGCTTCACTTCCTGTGGGAAATACAAGGCACAGAGTCCTGCAGCTGGATAATGGTAGAAAGAAGTGGGCAAGTGGCCGTGGGTGGGTCTCCCCAGCAGAGAAACGCACCAGTTTCTGACTGTTTGGTTAGACCTTCTGTTTGCAAACCCATGTTTTGTTGTGTTTACAGCAAAGTGCCAGTAATCGTAACACGTATCTTTTACAGATGACCCAGGACGGCCTAACCTCCCCAAGCCGAAACCGAACCCAAACCCCAAACAGCCTGGATCTTCCGGTAAGACCCCCACTGGCTCTGCGGGCCCACTCTGTGTGTATTTAAGAGTACAGGGTTCCCACATCAGCCAAGGACAGGTAGTTCCAGCTTCGTATGTGGTAACCATGGAGTCTGCGTGCAGGGTTAGTTTTGTTCCAAAAGACTTTTTTAGTTCGCTTATTTTACTGCCAAGATTTTACAGACCTTGTAAATAAATGAATGCAAGATTTCAAATACATAGAATTGATATGGTGCATGGTGTCTGCCGTACTTCCCTTGTGGAGAAGCCATTGTGTTTTAAACCGTTTTTGCCTTTTTCTGGCATCCGTGTAGACTCAACAATAACCCGACACCTGTTCTCTGAATTGAATTGCTTTTGCAATTTTAGCTTTCGAGCAGGTTTTTTGCATACATCTTTGTTTAATTTTGAACAGAGAGGAATATAAGTATCGCTCACATTCTGCCGCTGTGAACCTTGTGATGATTCCTCTCCCCAGTGTTGTCTGTCAGTGTAAATGAAATAGATTTTATGTAAACAGGTCCATCTTTCATTCATTCTGCCATTAATATTGTTTTTTGCGATGAGTATTCCATAAACGTCTTCTCATGCCATTGGACGGTGTTTATTGTATGTCTTTTGATGGCTGTTTATACTGTTAGCTGAACCCTGATTTCAGAGCATTTCATTTCTTCTGATGTTTTAGAATTAATGACTCACGAAACACCCCAAGTTTATCGTGCACTTTTGTTTTTTGGTGGTTTTTTTTTTTTTTACTATTCTAGAAGTTAGAATGTTTAGGTCAGTGTGTGTGAATAATGCTATAGTTTTTGGCATGTTTTTAAAAATTTGCTCCTAGAATTGTTACCACTATTCTGTCTCCATCCAGCCGTGGGCACAAATATCCCTTTCCTCACACCATCACCAGTCCTGTTATTATACCAGAAAACCCTTCTCAGATCATGTAAAATATTTTTCCCGCTTACCACAGTTTCATGTCCTTACTTCTGAAATTCATTTCCGAAATCAAACAAAATTAAAAATTCAGCGTGTCAATTAGCCACATACGGGTTTTCTTTTGCGGGTTTGTCACTTCTGCGTTATATTTTAAGGTGACCCAGAATTTCCTTGCTGATTCATAAGCCTACTTTATTTCTTTGCGGATATCCATATTGTCAGTCATTTATTATGGAAGTTCTTTCCCACTTAATTTTTGCTTCTGAGTCAGGTGAGCAGTATTTTTTGATAAGCAGACTTTATACACTTTTTTCCTCCTGGTGTCCTTTATGCTTGAATGGCTTCCCTGCTTTTGGGGGGCTATAGATTTTTTTCCTTCTAATGTCAGAATCATTTTGTCATTACTTGTCTCCCTTCTTGGGAAAGATAAAGCTCTCTATTTTCATTGGAATTGTTTATAACTATAATTCGATTTATAGAGCGCTGACACATTTATAGGCTTTTTTCCTTGGGATTCTATTTTCTTTATGCTTCTTTCTCCTAATCTTTAAATATATTTCTAAATTTTCCCCTAGTTTTTATTTGTTTCTATATGAATATATTTTTATGTCCATTATCTTCCTGTTTATATATAGAAATGGGTTTGTACATTGTTCCCCACTAGCCACTTAATGATGAACCCTTACTAACTTTGAATAATTTTCTTTGTTCTGTGGCTTTTGAAAGAAGCCTGTCATATTATTTGTAAATGATTTCTTAAAGTGCCCCCCATTTTATGTTTATATTTCCTCTTTCCAGTTTACTTCTCTCTGCATCATTTGGCCTTGGCTAGAAAACTCAGGACACCCTAAAATATGAGGGGAGAGAGCAGCCATTTGTCATTCCTGAATTTTAAAGCCCAAAGAAATGCACCTTTCAATAAAAGGAATGGTCTTTATTTTTTAAAATAGATACTCATTTCGTAAAGCATCTTTCTATTCTCATTCACTTCCATTTCTAGTTCCTAAACATGAATAAATGTTCGATTTAATCAGGCGCATGTTGTCATCAAGGCCTGTGGCCTTTTTCTTTTTTTTCTTTTAACCTGTGACTATGACAAGGTATAGTGAAGGGTGCCTTTACCTAAAATACATCCTTGCATTCATGGAATAAACTGTCCTTAATCATGATAGGTTTTATTAAACTGATAGGTTAGATTTGTTGTGTATCAGCTAGCTATTGCTACCTAACAAAACAGCCCCAAACCCACAGGCTTAAAAAAAATCTTAAAATTTGTTGCATTGTTACATCTGACAAGTATGTTGTTACATCATTGCATTTGACAAATCTATTGTTATACTGTTACATCTGATGAGTCCGTTACATTGTTACATCTGATGAGCCTGTTGTTACATTGTTACATCTGATGAGTCTGGGCTGGGCTTAGCTGACCTGGGCTTGGCTGTAATACCTCTGTGATTGAGCTGGTGGGACTTTGGGGGTGACTTGTTTGGGGTGGCCTCGGCTCGGATGCCTGAGCCCATGCACATTTCCACTAGCTTTGTGCAAGCCCGTTCTCAAGGGGCAAGGGCACGAGCCCCCAAAAGATATCATTTTTAATTATCGATTTGTCTCCCATTTTGCTAACATCCCATTATCCAAGGTGAGTCACCCGGCCTCCCAGAGTCTAAGGGTGGACCAAATGCTCCACCCACCCACAATGGGAAGAATGGAAAATAGCGCTCTTAGTGCAATGACTCTATATCAGATAGTTCCTTATGGGATTATTTCATTTATAATCATTGAGAAATGGGTAGGCACTTTCAATTTCTGTGGGTGCCATTGTTTACAGGATCCACAGGTGAGTTTTGGGTAAGGCTTATTTTAGGGTTTTTAAAATAAATGGGGGTTTAGTTGTAGTTGCATATTCTGAGATTTCTTCCATCAAGTAGTACTTGTGTTGAGTCCGCCCACATCTGCTTTCGATTCTGAAGTTGTTTCTCCTCACTCCATGACTCCAGGACCCTGTGGACAGTTCCCGTGTGACCCATGACACTGTGTGTGCTTTCTCTCCTAGATGGCTTTTCGGATTCCGATCTCGTTGACGGGACCTCAGATGGAGGTATGGTTACATCTCCATCCGTGTTTTTCCTCTCTCTGTTCCTTGTTGCCCACCTGCTGTTTAGAATCAGGCAGGGTCTAAAGTCTTAGCCCTCAGCGAAGTCACAGCTGTTTGGAAACCTCCTTTGGACCCTGCCGTTCACAGACAGGTCAAGGGCATGGACCATAGGACCTGCTCCACAGAGGCTGGTCCCTGGTTACCACCGTCGGTATCCATGGGAGTGGAGGCTGGCTGATTGGCCCTTACCAAACGTCTCCTAATCTAACCAGTCACCCGATTCTGCTGCGACTATGCGGGGTTGCTCATGGTGTGTGCTGTTTCTTATTATTTAATGCATGTGGAAGTCACAGTCATGAGCATGAAGTGGTGGGACTTCACACAGATGACCCTGCTTGCCTGCATTACAACTGATAAAGCAAATTTTCTACCTCTCTCTTTAAAATCTTAGGTCGGTGTAGGGTCCAAAGCAGTATTAAACATAAGTAAATAAGTATAGGTATGATAATATATATGTTTGTAATAATTATAATATATTTGTGTATATTTATTATATTTATGGTTGACCCTTGAACAACGTGGTTTTGAACGGTGCAGGTCACTTACATGGATTTTTTTTCCAATAAGAGTATTCAGAAATTTTGTGGAGATTGGCAACCCTTTAAAAAAAACATTTTCTTTTCTCTAGCTTACTTTATTCCAAGAATACAATATGTGATACTTATACAAAATATGTGTTGGTTGTTTATGTTATCATAAGGCTTCTGATCAATAGTAGGTTATTCGCAGTTAAGATTTTGGGGAGTCGAACGTTATACGTGGATTTTTGACTACGTGAGGGACTGATGCTTGTAACCCCTGCATTGTTCAAGGGTCAAATGTGTATATGTTTACATATGGTTTGTTTTAATATGTATTTATATATATATATACTGAGAATATTCTCAGTATATTGTAGTGTGTTTTGGGTGGGCTTGAGGGCCCTGGCTGGGGAGAGGGGACAGCTCCCAGGACCCCCTGGAGCCCACCGTGGGGCTGATTTGAGTCGAGAGCTGAGCCTGGTTTTCAGGGAAATGGGAGAGAGAAGATACCATTCATAGCACAAGGATATCCCCACCCATGAAAGAAAAAGGGCTCCCTAATATTAAACAGCAGTATCAGTGCCAGACTTATTTCTGTTAAGGTTCCTTCCTATCTCAAGGTCACAGGAGTGGATGCTTAGTAGGTCGACACCTCTCTCACCAAAAATCTTCCCAATGCAGTTTGTCAACAAGCCTGTTCCTGTCTTGCAGGTGGTGGGGGTAGCGGCGGCCGACACAGCAATGACCAGGATGGGCAGGGTATGTACACCTGGTGTCTGATGTCTCAGGTTACCCAAATGTGCTTTTGGGAAAAGGTGGAAGGCAGGAGTCAAGACATAACCTTTAGCCTTTGCTCTGTTGTCCTAAAGATGCTGGCACGAAATGGGGTTGTTCTGTGCCACGTACATGTTGAGCACCCGGCTGAAGTAGCTGGTTGACATCCTCCATGTCCTCGGCCAGAGATGCTGACACGGCCCGCATTGCAGTTCAGGCAGCTCAGCAGCCTCCCAAAGCCCCCTGAGAAGGAATACCATGTGTATGACCCAGGGTCCCCCGGAGAAACAGAACCAGTGGGGTACATATAGGTACACACAGATTTATTCTGAGGAATTGCCTTTTGCCTTAAGGGTCTAAGAAGGTCAGAGTCTGTCTCCTGCAAGCTGGCGACCCAGGGGAGCCCATGGCGTGGCTCAGCCCCACCAGCAGCGCCTGATTTTGCTCTAACCAGACCCTCGGTGGTGTGTATGATGCACATCTGCCTTGGTGAGGGCCATCTGCTTTCCTGAGTCTGTGGACTCAAATGTTCATCTTTCCTGGAAACACCCAGATGGACACACCCAGAAATAATGTTTTCCCAGCTCTCCAAGCATCCGCCAACCCCGTCAAGTTGGCACATGACACTCTGTCCTTTGTGCACGGAGCCGGTGTCTGTGTACCCACCATACTGTAGACACAGGACGGAGGTAGTTTGAGAATGACTGGTAGCGGATGGAAACACCATCGTAGCAAAGCACATGAGTGTTATGAAGGGTCAGTGGCTTTGATGTTTTGCAAAAGGCATGCAGAACTGAGATCTGGCTACATGAGGCCGCTGGCTGCTTACTGGTCCCCACCTGGACACTTCCACTCTGAGATGTGTTCCCTCGCCGGCAACTTATCCAGGTGTTAGGACCATGAACTTGTCATGGGGCTGGGGAGGAAGCAGGTTTGTCCCCCTGAAAACCATTTCCTGGGGGAAACAGTACACATAGTAAAACAAATTCCAATTCCAGATGTCACTTTTGGGGGTCAGGAAGGAGGTGCCCCTCGGAGGGGCAGTATGGCTGGCCTCTCGTATCATGCAAACAGATGCGAGGCTGTGTTTGGGAACCTGGCAAGACCCAGGAGGGGTCCCCTCCACGGTTGCCCAGGGGCCCTGTGTCTCGGTGCCCAGCCTCACCTTCTCCCTGTGGTCGGGGCCACCTGCCACCTGCCCCGCGGTCACCTGTCCTTGACGGCTCCCCAGTGACTGCGCCCTGTGCTTCCTCCCACAGCCGACGCCCCTGGGGTGGTCCCCGGCATCATTGGGGCTGTGGTGGTCGCCGTAGCTGGAGCCATTTCTAGCTTTATTGCCTACCAGAAAAAGAAGCTGTGCTTCAAAGAAAATGGTAAGGTTTTCTCCGCTTGCGTCCTTTCCTGTGTGCCTCGCTAACTTGAAAATGGTGCTTTCTTAAACAAAAACGAAGGAAGCTAACACAAAACCACAACTAGGTTGGCATGGAACATGTGCAAGGTGGCTGGTAGTTGGTAAAATCGCTGGAGTCCTGGAATCGGACATTATCGCTGTGCTGCCGGGGCTGCTCTGCGCCCGGTGGCGTAAATGCTTCTATTAGTGACGGTCCAGTCCTTGGGCTTTCCGTCAGTAAAGTGGGGGGCGGGGGGGCTGGCAGTCCGTACGGCATAGGGCTTTCGTGAGGATCCATAAGGTGAGTGTGAATGTCCTGATGGGCCACCCGGCAGGGAGCAAGGGTTGCAGAAATGATTTATTCCTCCTCGTTTACCACCACGATTATCTTCATCATCGTTAACACAGGAGCTATGGTTGCAGGGGTGGGAGGCGCCGCGTTCTCACCACCCGAAGGAATTCAAATGGAAACACGGCAGCCGGTCCCAGTTCTGCTAGAAGTCGGTCCTCACGGGTAGCGGGAAGGCTCTTGGATGGGACATAAGATTTGTAGAACGTGGACAGTGCCACGCTTCCCACACACTGATGGGAGCCCCATCATCTGGCATTTTGGAACCTTATATGCAGAGTCCCTAAGTCTTATAGGATTTGCCATTGGGTGTCAGCAGGTTCTGCCGTGCACACGGCTAATGTTCATGCATCTCTGGACCACCTTCACCCTGGAAAGTCTACTGAGGGGTGCGCTGTGATGTGGTTTGTTGAGGGAATGTTCCGTGGACTGTGGATGGTCCCCCTCCACCTCCTCAGACCCTTCTGAGGTCTGGACGTCTCACACTACCTACAACATTCAGTCTTTATTCCTATTCAGCCCCTGCTCTCACCCACGTAAAGGACCACCAGCCGAGGTCTCTAGGGAAATTCCCAGAGATGTGCATCGGTGCTGACTGAGGCCAAGTTCGATTGTGGGGCTGGAGTTTCCCCTTCGTCTGCCATCATTCTGGAGTTTTAGGTCCACACACAGGATTTAGAGCCTGACATGGAAAATCCTACACAGCTCGTGGATTCAGAGGCTCAAACGAGCCGCTGCCCTTATGTCCCTCTCGTTGGCGTGAATGCTCAGGGTCTCTGACTATGTCTTATTTCACACACGGGACTGGGTGCCTCACATCTGCTCAGGGAAACCCCGCTTGGTTGGGCGTCAGGGGCCCAAATGGCAGATGACCAAGGTGGAGGACATGCCCCCAAAAGAAGTATGACCCTGAACCGAGAAGAAAAAAACAGAGCAAGTGTGTATTTGAGCTCCAGTGCAGATCTGGAGTCGGAAGCGTTTCTGTGACCGTGGGTACGGGACGGCGAAACCCTGGGATACTTGTGTGCCAAGGTACAGGGACTTGAGCAAGCATTCAGGGGTCTCAATAGACTCACCATTGTCCAGGATTTGGCAACGGGATTCAGAAATTGGGAAAAGCAGCCATTCCCCCTCCCAACCCATCCCTGGGTTTATGCTCTTTGGATGAAGTGCTTTGTCCGTCACAGGCGTGGGGCAGGCACGGAAACGGAATAGCTCCCAATGTAGGAGTAGTTGGACTTACAATGTTCAAAAATAAATGCATCCTTGTTGAAAAATTCGCTGAGGGCAGTCTAGGGTTTATGCTTCTGGGAAGCTGGCTACATTCATTTCCCCAGAATATTTCCTGTGAACTTAAATTCCTGAGCCAAATGAATGTTAGGTGCGACCTTAAGTCTTTATTTGCTTTCTAATTTTCATGGACACCATGCCTTTCAGCTTATGTAGATGCACAAAGAAAAGGACAAAAAAAGGGAAACCATGTACTGATTCCAGGAACTGGGGACTTTTGTGTCCAGTCATAAAAAGCCCAGCGTGAACACAAAGAAAATTAGGTAGTATTGTTGTTTAAACAAGCAAGGCTTCAGGGCAGAAGAGAGAGTGTCGCTCTGACTACCTGGGTAGGCATTTCAGCATTTACACTTGATACTGAAAAGTGAATTTAGCATGTGGTGCAGTTCCATGCATTTATGCACAGAGATAAGAGCTGAAGTGTGAATCCGGGTACTCGGTGCATAAAAATCCTACGACTTTCAGGGTCTGTGCAGGGCTGCTGGGTCGGTTTTATTTCTGGGACGGTCCCATTCACCCATATACAGTTGTGAGCTTGGAGACTGGATAAAAAGGATGTGGCCACCGCCAGCCTTACTCCTTGAAGAAACCTTCGTGTTCCCAGAGGGGACATTCACAGTGTGATTTCCCAGGACTTTGTCCTTATAAGTGGAGTTTGTGGGAGCTCTTGAATCTGCATCAAGACGCCGGTGGGTTTTCCCAACACGGCAATACATCAATCACATGGCATCAGCCTCGAGAGAAATTCATGTAAGAGCTTTTCCGTTATTACGGTTTGAACTGACGTATGAAAAAAATATCCCTAGCCGATGAGCAGGGATGGATCAGGCCTTTATTCCTAAAGGTTGGGTTTCGCAGTCCTGAGAGTTTCATGTGTTTTTCATCCAAATGACGGATGCCGGCCCATGGAGGTCGTTTTTGGACGCAGGCTCAGGGTGGACATGCATCTGGCATTTTGACGTATTGTCTTCAAGAAACTGGTGCAGGGGACGGGTGACGTGGAGCCGGCCCCGCTTGGATGGAGCTTCGCCTTGCGTTTTGTCTGTTGGTGTGAGCACTGCTGCTCTGTGTGCCGGGCCACTAACTTCCGATGCTCCCAGGCACGTGCACCCGCTGTTTGCAGCATCCTTGGCCGGTTGCAGTTTCTGGCAGCTTTCAGGACATGAGCTCACGGCATGTCCCCGGGCTTAATTTCAGTTTCCACTCTGCCCCTAGCTTCCTTTGCTGATGGGTCTGGACGCGTCTTCCTCCTTTTCTTCTGAGCGTCTTTCTAACATGTAGCACCCCCGGGAACGTGGGCACACGCCTAAAACCAACCTGTTGCAAGTTTACTTTTGTTTTTTGTGTTTGTTTTTGTTTCTGTTTCTCTTTTTTTCAATCTTCCGTTTCAGATGAGCCGAAGGTCTAGGGACAAGCAGAAAGCCCCGTGCAGGCCTCAAGATCGAGCTGTCCGGTCAGCGTCTGCCCACGGAGACCCAAACTTTTTATAAAGCAAACTGTGGCATTTGTCTCCGCTCGAACTAAATGGCACAGGGATGCAATTCTCCCGGGCGGCAGTCCATCCCTTGAATTCTCTCGGTTTCCTCCCTTCTTCATGCACAGAAGTTTATTAGATAACCGTACAGGTGGCCTCAGAAAATGAAGAGAAACGCAGATATTTTTCTTTGAAACATTAGCCCAACAGCATGGGAGAGAGCAGCTTCCTTAACTGACTGAAGTTCTTCATGATTGACGGGTGACTCAGGGATCGGGCAAGGGGGTGGGGGCGGCCACCACCACCCCTGCCGCCTCCTGGGGCAAACCCCACCGCCTTTGGGTCATAGGGTTGATCCTTTAAGCCACCGGTGGAGGTGGGGACCCTGTCACGCCACAGCCCCTGGACTTCTTTGTTGTGTTTTTACTCCGTTTCTCCTGAGGCAATTCCTAAGGTCGCTGGTCAGGTTTTCCCAAGAAGGGAACTTTCAGTTCCCGGGGGGAGAAGAAAAAAATCCATATTTTTAGGAATAAATAAAAATCTCACGATTTAAAACATTTTAAGGTCAGTGGAGAAGGGGTAGTAGGTATTCGGCTTTTGTTGACACCTGAGAATTTTTATGTGCCTGAGTGTCCCTTAAACTGGATGTTTATTCCCCTTCCACATGTGACTGTCACCTTTTCGGGCATAAAAATTACTTTTCTCCTTTTGACGAAGTGCTGGCATTGACTGTAATGTCCCTCCTGGGCTGGGATGGGTGGTAGAGATTTCTGAACCGAGTGGCAGGTTTAGGGGCTAGTGTGACTGGTCCATTGGGAGGAGGGTTGGGTGCCCCACAATGAGAAAGTCCTTTTCTGGGGACAGGGGGAGTCCCAGCACCATCCAGGGGTCCCCTGGAGCTTGACAGAGGTCACCTGGATGACCTTCTGGCTGTTTAGACGATATGTGCACAGGTGTCTGCATACTGATAAAGGAGGCCTGTGCCCCAGTCAGCCCCATCAAATCCTTCTGTGCCCACTAAAAATAATGTCACTGTGGCCCCCAAAATCAGGCACTGCTAGACAGTCCCCTGGTCCCCCCCGGGGCCAGTTTTGCCACCAAGGTCATGGCATCTATATCCATAAAGAGACCCTCTAAATGCTGCTCTAATAACTGCTAATGGTCCCTACCCTGAAAGGAACCCGTGGGAATTACTTTAACAGCCTGAGACCCGGCGTGTTTGGCCTCTTCAATTGCAAGGTTGACTTGGGAGGATCCATGGAGCATCTTAGGGAATCTGTTCTCCGGCTTCTGCCCCCTGCACGTATCTGTTCAGAGGATGTAGAACTTAAGATGCCTTCTATTGGTCCGAGATAATTTTGGCCCCAGAGGATCTTACCTTCCTGCCCCTTCATTCCACATGGTCTTTTTTGATTTTTTTTTCCCACGGAGCCAGATTTGACAGGCTGTTTCATGGCCCCATTAGAATATTTTTGTCCTTAGCCACCTGCATTTTTTTTCTTGGTTGGTTCAGATGATTTGCCCTGTGAAATCACTGCAGATTTAGAATTTCTTGCCCCGACGGTTTTCTCTAACATGTACCCGAGCTTTTCACGCACCCCACATCCTGCTGATGCAAAGACCAGTGTTTGCAGCCACTGCTGTGTAATGCTTCTCGCGGGCTCTTCCCTGTGGGCATTGTTCTTTACTTATTAAATGTAGGTTTTGAGTCTCCCAGGGGTCTCCTTACAGACGACGGCATTCATTCTGTGCCCCGCCCTGCTCCGTTTTTTTCTGGGACCTGGGTGCAAATTATGTTGTGCGCTGTTCATGAAAGTGTTGCAAGATGGTGCATTTTCACAAAGATTAAAGCTTTGCGGGTGGAAAACAAATGCTGGTGAGTGGGGAGAGCTCGTGCGGGTCCCTTTCACGCGGAAAACGCTTACATTGTCTTAGCAACAGTGCTGTTGAGAAATAAATGTATTTTGTGTGTGACTCCCAAGTGTGTTTTGAATTCTGTCGCCTGTGCTGTGCGCCCGGGAGAACCTTTGGGGGCGTGGTTGTGTTTTCTGTTGATGTGTGTTTGAGAAATGTGCAGATAGAAATTTGGAAATGAGAGAAACGCAGCAGCCGAGACGCAGGAGCGCCCAGGGCTGGTGAGCTTGCGATGCCCCTGACCGGGCCGTCCTCCGTGGCCTGGTTCCCAGTGCATCGCATCACTCATGCTGCTTTGGGGGTGGGCGGCCGGCAGGGTAGGGGGGTCCATCACCAGGAGGCTGCCCCCTTTAATTACCCCCTTGGGATTTTGTTCCTGCTTTCAGCCAACCAAGGCGAGCTCAACATGGAAAACCATCCGGGCAGCAGTGCCGAGCCTCCCGGTGAGCCGGGCTTTTGCCCGTCCCTTTTCTTTGCCATTTGCTTTCCTCTGCCCCCACCCTACCCGCCGGCCTGCCCCAGACCCTGCCCATGGGGTTGGATGGCTTCTGCGGCATCCCATGGTGTAGTTGTGAAACGGGGTCCCTTCCTCTTGGCAGTTCACCGGACTCTGCTAGAGAAATAGGAGCTGGGCCGTGGAGCCGGCCCCCCGCAGGCTCCCCGCCGGATCACCAGGCCCGCCACGCCAGCCCCGGCCAGCCTGGGCCTTCGCTCCAACCGGGAGTCTGCTTGGATCTCGAGCTGCCCGTCGCCGGTTGGGTTGATGCTGTTGACTAACCTTGAGTTTTGCATCCAGAAGGGAGTGGCCATCATCTCCCCCGTAGCCCTTGGGGGCTTCCTGTGGGACGTGAAGGGCTCCCCATCACAAAGCCCCCAGCATTTGAACGTCGACCCCACCGAGGTTCCCCGACCTGGAACTCTGGGCCGTGTACAAATGACACATCTGTTGAACGCGTCCAAAACGTCCCCAGCATTGACCCTTTACAGAGTGGGGTAAGACTCCATGAGCTTCCTCACTGCTTCCATTGGGTAGGAACTTTTTCACATAAGACTAATAAAAAAGAAATTAGAAACCACGTACTTTTTCTTTAAATGTTTTGCCAGAGGGTGGCTTTGCACCACAGACAGGCTGTGGAGAGGAGGGAGGTGGACCCCGTATTCTCTTTTCTAGTCTGGAAGACATATGATTGATGTGTGTGCCAGCTCTTAATTTCTGGGGTTTTTCTTTCTCTGCCAGTTTCCTTACCCTGTCGCACTGGGGACAGACTTCTCAGCATTCGGATACTCCCCTGCATCGGCTACTCCATGCATTCAGATACTCCCCTGTATCAGCTATTCCATGCATTCAGATATTCAGCATACATTCAGATACTCCTATGCATTCTGATACCATGAATTAGGATACACCCCTGTGTCAGCTACTCCCCGTGCCATCAGCTATTCCCCTGCATCAGCTGCTGTACATGCATTCAGATACTCCCTTGCAACATGTATTGCCCTGCATGTTGCATTAATGTCTAAAGTTGTGTTTGTTAGGCAAAAGGGTGTGGTGTGGGCATATTTTTTTTATGAGTACTGCCCAAGCATCCTCCAAAGATGTATAAAATCATGGTACCCCCCCCCTTACCCCCAATGGTGTCTCAGATCTACAAACTTTCTGATCATTGCTAATCTATTAATTGAAAGAAATCAAAACCAATTGTTTTACATTGCATTTCTCTTCACACAAGTGAGTTTGAGAATCTGTGTGTGGAAAACCCATTTCTGTGGCACCCATTTTAATTACGCCTTCTGCCATTTTTCCTTTCCCGGTCCTCTTCTTATTGATCTGTAGCAACTCTTTACATATTAAAGATCATGCCATTGGCCTGGGAAGTAGGTAGCAAATGAGATTTTTCACTTTATCGTAAGCCTTTAAAATTTTAAATGAAGTGAATTTTCCTCATTTATTTTTATTATTTTTGTATTATTTTATATTAGTGAAAATTAGTTCATGGTTTCTGGGTTTGCTTTCCTACTTAGAAACACATCTGCTATCCTGATATCATTTTGTTTTATTGTTATAGTTTCTACTAACACTTTTATGGGTTTATTATTTTTTTAACCTTAAAATACTTGATCTCCTAGGAATGCATTTTTGTATGGGGAATGGGAAAGAGGTTCTTTTTTATACAGGTTCCCTCCCCACCCGCAAAACATTTTTTTAACTGACCCATATTTTCTCCATAGATTAGAAATACAGTTTACATCATGCACTAAATTCCTGGCTATTGAGGGTAAAGGGGATAATTGTATTCTCTTCTCTCCTGTGATCACTGTTTACAATGAAGCCAGTGTCACATATTTTTCATTTTTGTGGGTTGGTAATTATGAGTTTTTGTATGTGGTAGGATAATGGTCTATCCATTATTCGTAGTCTTCAGAGGTTTCTTGGTCTTATTTTGCTGTTAAATTTTTCATTTGTGTCTTAGAATCAGCACCTTATTCTAAGAAAAATCCTGTTTGCATTTTAACCAGGATTACATTTTCAGACTCATGTAGGCACATTCATAATTTAGAGTCGGTGTGTTTATGAACGAGCTATACCTCCCCTTTCCTGGACGTCTTTTCTATCCCGTGTGGTATTTTCCTGTTTTCATGTAGATTTGTACATTTCTTACTTTATATAAATGCTGCTGCTTTCTGTTAACTCTGTGATATGAAAATTTCCTTAATCTTATTGCTTACTCATACATATGAATGCACACACATACACATAATCATAATTATGAAAAATATGTACATATAGAAAGTCATGAAAGTATTTGTGTGCGTACAAAATCATGAAAGATCTGTTCCTCTTAAAACCTTTCCCCAGGTATGGGTTCTAAGTTCAGTTAAATGATTTTTCCAGATGTGTAGAGATCATCAGAGGACTTGTATAAATATCATGAGTTAAATATACTCACATATGCTCTCATAAATAACCTAACACAGAACCGTCCTTTTACTGGTCACATGGGACCTCACTTGCTTTTTGAACGGGGAGATGTACGGAAAAGTTAATTTTTACATTTATTTCTCCCCAAGGGAGAAACAAGAAAACAAAACAGAATCCCTCCTACCCGCACATACCCATGCCAGGCCGCCCGGGTAATGAGCCAAACCAATTTCCCAGAATATAAAGAAAAAAGCTTGTTTTTCTCTTGAGGATTCCTGTGTCTATATCTGAGTGTGAAACTGCTTTGTGTCGCATGTTTGGATCGGTTCACAGCTCCATTTTTTCATTTCAGTGGACTCTCCTCTTCTGTGCCTGCGTAGGAGTAACTGGGGCTTGGTTTGTGTTTCTCTCTTGGGGAGAAATAAACGTAAAAATCAGCTGGAAAATCCTCCATTGTTGCTAAGTTTTCAGATGTGGCTGCCTAGATTTTAGGTTCCCTCCTTATGCTCCAAGCCTGGGGGGGATTCACATTCATGTCATTTTATTTATTTTGTGTAGCGTTACTTTTCCACTTGACCTTCTCAAAGAATCATTCAGCGATTACGCTGCCATTTCTCAGTTTGTGGTTCATGAATGCATCTCGTCTGCCTTCTCTGGAGTTACCCACCCTGCACACACACACACATCCCCCGAATCGGACGTTTATTCCCTTCATTTCTACTCTTTTTCAACATTCTAAGTATGCAAGGCTCTACCTTTTTATTTGAGCCCCCGTGTTCACATGGATATTTCTTGTTATTGTTATTTTCTAGAGAGTTGGTCTTTTTAAAAAAAAAATCTCCTGTCAACCCAGCGGCTTTAAAAACGTCCACATGACACGTTTGTGTCCTTGGCTTTCTGCTTTGGTAATCCAAGGTCTGGTGTTCTAGTCCTGGGGGAAAAGAATGCTGTCTAGTGATTGGTCTTTGGAGTCCAGTGGTGAATTCTGTAAAAGCTCCAGGAACGTGGAGAAGGATGGGTGTGCCCTGTTGTTAAGGTATTTAATTTTAATGAACCACCTCTGGTTCCAAGATGGTTTTATAGCCGAGATCCTGGGGCACGCCTGGGAGGCTGTCACAGAGCATCAGAGATGAGGGGCGGGTGGGGCTTAACCGACAGAGGAACATTCTCTCACGGTCTGGAGACCACACTTCCTTGACCAAGGCATCAGCAGGGTTGGTCCCTTCTGCAGGCTTCCAGGAGAATTAGGTCCCTCCCAGCTTGTAGAGGCTGCCTGCCACCCTTGGCGTCCCTCTATCCCAGATTCTGCCATCACGTTGCCTTACCACATGCCTGTCTGTGTCCAAATGTCCCTCTCATTCATGAGAGCACCATTCGTTGGGTTACATCCCATGTGACTCCAGTACACCTTCATCCTAACTGTATCAGCACCGACCCCATTTCCAACCAAGGTCACATTTGGAGGTATTGCCCGTTAGGACTCCAACACAGGATTTTGGGGGTGGGGTGGACACAAATCAACACAATTCCCCATCCCTTCCCCCAGCGCCTGGCAAACACCCCCTGCTTTCTGTCTCTATGTCTGCTCTGGACATTTCCTATCAATGGGATCCCATCCGTTGTGGCCTTTTGTGTCTGGCTTCTGTCATTGAACACAGTTTTTCGTCCATGTTGTAGCATGTGTCAGGGCTTCATTCATCTTCATGGCCAAGGATATTCGAAGGAAACATCTTTCCAAACATGTCACCTGCTCTCCTTGGCCGTCCCTTTGATGGTTCAGGATTCCAGGTGCAGGATTCCTAAAAGCTTCACACACTTATGTGCACCAAGACACGATCTGTACATGTAACTTAGCTTTATAAAGTTTTACACGGAAAACAAAACCCAGATCCTGACAGTGGAGAATAATACACACATTTCTAGATGCCAAAAATAATGCAGAAAATGTCAAAGGTTCATGTGTCCTTTAAGTCTTTGACCTAAATCCAGCTCTTATGAGGATTTATAAATCGCTTCCGCAACCAAGATTTATTTATTTTTCTTTCTCATGCACGTAACCCTATTCATCAGAGGGGTCAAAACCCTTTGCAAATTTTAACTTTTTATTTTTCCCCATTGCTTTGTTAATCAATGAGAGGATAGGGATAAATATGGCTTTAGGGGAAACAAATAAACACTGTGAAAATAGGAAAAATAACTCGGCTCAGCCACCAGGCAGTTTTCTTCTCCAGACAGGTTTCAAGTGGACGATGCCAAGAATTTGGCAATTACGTAAAATGCCTCCAACTTCAATCATGTATGTTCATCCATTTTTGCCTTTTCTGTGGAGTGAAGGCAAAAGAAACAGCAAAGGGGGAATTATCCAAACTGAGATGGAGCAGAAAGCTGCAGATTTCTGTCCCAGATGGCATGACAGGTCTTGGAGGGGACGACACGGTGAATTATCGCAGGAGACATCTCAGCCCCTGTTCCCTGACATGGAGCCGTTCTGCAGCGGTCATGAAATGTGGTGATTATGGAATTCATGTCAGGTGATGACCCTGATTTTCCATTCAATGCTTCTCCTCGCTACCTTAGGGGGCCCCTGAAAAGTTCGGTTTGGGTGATGAGAATTGCTGGTGGGGACAGTCCTTCCATGTTTCATGCAGGTCAGTGTGTCAGGGAGTGCCGATGGGAATTTGGCTCAGCTCCAATTTTTTTCAGAACTATGACATTTTTTGTTGAATCCAAGTTCTGTTTGGGGCTGGGGGAACACAACAATTCAAAAAATCAAAAAATGTCCGTGGCTAGCACTACTTCTGTACAGTTGTGCTGAGTGACATGTTGTAGCATTCCCACCCTGACAATGACAGCTAGCATTTGGGGCTGTGGGCTTTTTTCTGGGCTGGAAGGAAAAATGTTTTTGCTTACTAACTGCCTTTCTTCTTTGTTTCAAAGAAAGGAAGCCACAGGACTCTCTGGGGGTCGCTGTATTAAATGGCCACAAACCAGGGGGCTTAAGCCCCAGGAGTCATCCTCCCCGGCTTTGGAGACCAGAAGTCTGAGGTCCAGGCGGCGGGGGCAGAGTCGAAGTGCAGAAATTCAAAAGTACCCCAAGGCTCAGCATCATATAATGTGGCACTACAGTTGTAGGGTGAAGGTTCTGTGTCCCCTCCTCTTTGCAGAAAACCTCCTGTTTGTCATGCACACGTTGCACCTGGCAGTGCCTGGCTCTGAGCAAGCGTTCATGGCATGTTCACTGGGTGGAGGTGCAGCCTCCGCCCATGCCCCAGGCCCAGGAGGCAGAAACCCCGGAATTTATAAACGGGCTTCTCACCACCTCTAACCCAGCTCAGGTGAAAAGACACACGACCAGGTATTGTGTGCTTCCCTCACACCCATATCCCCACCCACATGTGTTCTCCCTCCTGTAAAGATACCTGAGAGCCAGGCACATGGAGTGACTCTTTCAAGGCACACAGTCTATTCGATGCAAAAGCAGGGATTTGAACTCGGGTCTGTGCCCTGTCCGGGGCTGGGTCTCACCATCGCCGCCCTGTAGGAAGGCTCTTGGGAAGGACTCTGTCCCCCTGTGCTCAGGGCTGGCCCCTTTGATGTTGCTGCACCGCTCACGCCCGCAGAAAGCAGAGCTGCTGAGCCGGTGTGCCGGCTTTGCGAAGCCGAGGATGCCCATTGGCTCCCGGTGGCCACCTGTCTCCCCGTCCCTCCAGAGGGCTGGCCACTGCAGCCTCAGAGCAGGGAGCCTGGCACCAGGACGACCTTGAGCGTGCGCACACTTGTCCCACGGGTTCCTGGCTGTGGGGTTAGGCATCTGAGCGCCGGGCCCGTTTGGTTTTGGCGAGCAGATCATCTTTTGGTTCATTCTTTCCACTTGGAGACATCGCCTGCTTCCTTCCAAGCTGGGACACCAGACGTCAGCACGTCCGGGGTGGAGTGGCCGGACCTCACACAGCCTGCTGAGCCTCTTTCCTCCCGCAGCCGGCCATGGGTGGCAGCCGGGGACTCCTCTGTCTCGTGTTCCTGTGTCTTCTGACGCACATCCGAGGTGAGGGGCGCTCTGCTCTCCAGGGAGGGCTGTGTGGGTGTGGATCTGTCTGCTTGCTTTTAAAAACTCCTTTCCAAGGAGGTTTACCGAGGAAATGCCTCGCATGTGCAGGAATGGATGGCAAAGGACAGGGGCAAGGGTGGCTCTGAGTGTGGAAAGGACAGGTCCTGGGAACTGGAAAAAGAGGATGTGGGCAACAGCGTTTAGAGGCACACTGCGTTCTCTGGTTCGGGGCAGGGTGTGTCTCACCCACTTCAAAAATGGCCTGTTTCACTCGTGATCTAAGCATGGCAGGGCATGATGGGATTTGTAAACTCCTCGTTTCGGGGGGTGGGGGAGTGGAATGTGAGTCCAGCTTGGCGAGGTGGACATGGAGTTGCACATGGCTGTGTCCCGTGCGCCGGCTTCCCCGGGGTTGGGTTGGCGTGCAGGACGGCCTCCCTCCACATTTTTCAGCTTTTTCATAAATGTCATCCTTCCGTTGTTGTTGCAAATTGAAAACATCTGACTTGTTTACGCCCCAGACTAGAGCCCAGCTGGCAGTGTTCCCCAGAATCCAGGATGTGGGTTTGGTGGGGAGTCGGGGGACCCAAGTGGGGGGCCTCATTTGGGGGGACGATATGGAAACTGTGAAGCGTAGAACAGAAGCTGCAGTTGGGCAGGTGCCTTGGGCCATTTTGATATTCAGATTCCAGGGGTGGATGCCAGCCAGGATTTGAGAGTGAGAAGTATTGTCCGTGAGAAGTGAGGGCATTTCATTCAGCGGCGGTATTTCCTGTTTGCCCTGTTTCGGGGATGATAAAGGACCAGGACTTGGTATGCAGGAGCAGGTGTGGTGTGATGTTGGGAGACACCCCATGGCCCCACCCAGGACACCCGGGACCCTCCTATTAACGGTGCCACCTTCCATCCCATGTGGCATGCGGATCGTGTCAGGGTGTTCACTGGTCTCTGAGGATGGAGACATGGTCGTCCCTAAATGTCCACACAGAGGGAAAGCAGGAGGGCGGATGTCCTGTGTCCCACAGAGATGCTCGGCCACAAACCCGGCCCCAGGAAAGCCCTGCCGGGACTATGCTAGTTCCCAGGCACCCATAGCTTAGCCACGGTCCTCCTGCAGCTCAGATGCTCAGTGCACCGTCCACGAGATGCTCGGGGCAACCGGGGGTGGGATTCCTTCTGTTAGCCGTGCAGGTTATCAGGAATCTGTGGGGACCCTCCATGGGTTTTAACATGTTCTTCCCAAGAGACAAAAGCCAAGGGCCGTCCTGGCCCACGGCTGCCACGTAGTTTGAGTGCCACCACATGGAGGTCTCTTCATGCCATTAGCTGATTCTCCCGCACCTCTGTGACGAGGTGTCATGTTTTTTGCAATTGTTTAGGGAAGTTTTGGAAGTGCTGTGTGAAGTCAGGCACTCAGGGGTCCTGGGCGCCCCCCAGGGTCATTCCATCAGCCTCAGGACTTGCCATACTAGAGGGTCAGCCCCTCAGGCCCCAGAGGGCATGTGAGTCTGCCTGTAATTTGGCTCCGTGTAGATTCCGGGTCAGCAGGTCTGGGTGCAGCTGGTATTTCTTACCAGGGGGCCGCACTTGGAGGTGTGTGGGGGGAGCCGGTTACACCGTCCAGGGAAGGGGACCCCCAGGTCCACGAGGTCCACAGCCCAGAGAATAACAGCGTTGGTTATGGGGGAGGGAATGGAGCCACAACAAGCCCTGGTGGCTTCATCCTAGACGAGGAGGAAAGGCAACCTTGAACCTGCCTGGCGACCTTATTTATGGAGCCCTGAGTATCCCACGCCCGGGCCTGCCGGGCCACCTTCAGAACAGCCCTGTGAGTCACTCCAGAGGAAGGCAGTTGGTGTGGAGCTGTCACACTTGGGCACTCTGGCAGAAGGAAACCGCCTTCGGGTGGCACATGGGTGGGCTTGACATGCTGCAGCTTCCCAAGACCCCCCAAAGATGGTGAATTTGGTCCCATCAAAACCAGCCTTAAATGCCAGCATCTGACTTGCATCATCTGGGGTGGAAGCTGTTAAATGTTCCCCCATGTGATTCTGGGGTGCAGTGGATGAAAAGCGGGGACAGCCCAGTGTGTCTCTTGGAAATCCAGTGGGGTCCCCAGCATAGGGTTCAATATAGGTGCGCCTGGGTGATGCTTAGAGACAGAGATCTTGCAGCCTGCCTTCGAATCATGCACAGAACTGGAGTTTCAGAGGCTTAAGCAGAAAGTTGAAAATGCGCCGGATGGTTAATTTTATATGTCACCGTGCCTGGGCTATGGCCCCAGCGGTGTGCTCAAACACCAGTCTAGGTGCCCCTGAGAAGGGGTTTTGTGGGTGGGATTACTATCCACCATCAGCTGAACAGAAGGGAAGCAGGTTGTCTGTGACCATGTGGGGCCCCCCTCCTAATTTGTTGGAGGCCTAAAAGCAAAGAGTGAGGTTTTCTGGAAAGAAGGAAGGTCGAGTGAAGATGGCAGGGTCATCTCCTGCCTCGCTGTCTAGTCGGTCCCACTGATTCCAGTCTGGCCAGTCCCACAATCTTGTGAGCCAATTCCTTAAGATAAATCTCACTAGATGGATGGATGGATGGATGGATGGATGGATGGATGGATGGATGGATGGATGGATGGATGGATGGATGGATAAATAAGGAGGCAGATGGGCAGATAGATACATAGATGATAGCTAGCTAGCTAGCTATAGATAGATGAATAGATAGGTAGGTCGACAGATAAATAGATGACAGGTAGGTGGACTGAAAGATAGATGACATTTACGTAGATAGAATTTAGATACACGATAGAGAGTCTCTCACGTAAGGCAGGATTTCTCTGTCTCACACTGGGACACTCGGGGCTGGGTCACTCTTGGGGTGGGGAGCTGTCTGGTGCACTGCAGGACAGTGAACGGCGTATGTGGCCTCCACCCATTTAATAACAGCTGTCCCCCACTCCCAGTGTGATGACCAAAAGTGACTCCAGATATTGCCATCCCTCCCCAGGGCAAAGCCGCCCCCTCAACCCCAGCTGAAACTTGCTGGCTGCAGCATCTCTCCCTGGGGATGGTGCTTCTGGTGTGTGCATGCTGGGTACGCATCCCTGAATTGGGAACCACGAAGTGGCCTCCCACATGGGTCAGGGGTCCATGAAGCTCAACCCGAGGCTCCACCAGATGGCCGGGTGCTCAGTCGCTCATCGTTTCTCACAGGGGCCCTGACTTGGGCGTGATGTCACCCAGGGCACTTTGTAAACAGTAGGACTGCAGAAACCCCAACATGTTCCCCACAAATCGTGGGGAGATCCCAAGGGGTGGGGCCAGGAGGAGCCTATAAACCAGCTCCCTGGCAGGTGATGACTCTTTTGAACATCAAGGAGTGACACTCACAACGCTAAACAGCCTGGCAGGTGGATGCGGTGATACCGGGAGGGTCACACAACCCATTTGTGGCTCGACCTCCACGCCCACAGATCAAACAGTGGTTGCCAACACGCCCCGGGGAAGGATGCAATTTCAAGGGAGTCTCTGTTGATGGATGTGGGTCAGGCCAGCGTGGGTCAACTTGCTGCCGCCGGCGGGTGTCCCAGCCTCTGCAGGCCGCAGTTCTCCAAAGCCAAACCCAGCAGCCCATAGCAGCTGAACGCAGCCGGGGATGTGAAATGCCTACCCAGTGTCTGACACTCCGGCAAGTAACAGGAAATACCCAGAAACCTCAGAGGCTGCTGTTAAAATCTATAAAGAACATCTCTGTCCATTTTCCCTCTTTTTATAGGCTAAACATAAGGGGCAGCTGCCTTCCAACTCATGCAGAACTCTAGTTACGGCAGACACGGGAAGATGCACGGGGTGTGGAAAAGAAAGTTGGCGCCTGTGCATAACACCCATAGAGAAAAAAGGATAATTTGTACAGGAAAATGATGATGTATGTACAGGAGAAAATAGGTACACAGGGGAAAAAGGAAATATAAAAATATACATAGAAGATACAAAAGATAAGATATATGTAATTATAGATATACATAAGAAAACATTTATAATTATGTACATTCCTGTATATGTTTCCTTCCCCCCCTCCCCCAAACTGAACACAGCAAGCAGCCCCTGGGTATTTCTGTTCCCGGCTGTTCGTTTCCGAATCTGTCATCGTTTAGAAGGTCTGAGCCGCTGCAAGTCTTCTGGGGTTTGATCACGAGCCCTTGTGAAATATACTGGGAATTTGGGGGCACAAAATTGTAAGCTGCTGTGTATGGGGAGTATAACCCTGTTTTATTTTATATTTTATTGGGTAGGAATGATTTAGGGTTTGGGGCAGCACAACATCCCTCCACTTTGCAGGGCGCTGGTGTGAGGCGTCTCCAGCGCCTCACGCGATGCGTTTGGACCTTGGGAATGTGCTCAGTCCTGCAGCTGGTGCGGCTGCGTGTGCACAGCGTGGTTACACGGGGCACCGGGACCCACACCTCATTTCTTGTCTCCCCAACCTGCCCTTGCGTTTTCCCAGAGCTGTGACCCCAAACAAGTTATTGAGGCCGCAGTTCCTCTCCTGGATGCGGGGCGGGTGGCTGCCTCCACTGCAATCCACCAGGCTGTCGCAGCTCCGTCGTGGCTGAATGAGTTTCTCCTGTGGGTTTACGTCTGTCAGGGGCTGAACTGTGTCCTTGCAAATCCACAGGTTGCAGCCATTACTCCCAAGACCTCACAATGGGGGTATATTTGGAGATGGGGCCTTTAAAGAAAGAATTTAGATAAATGAGGTCATAGGGTGGCCCTGGTCATTTATGACTGGTGTCCTTGGAAGAGGACATGAGGACACAGACACGCACAGAGGGACGACCCGTGAGGACGCAGGGAGACGACAATGTCCACACGCCCAGGAGGGAGGCTTAGGAGGACCAGCCCTGCCCACACCTGGACCTCAGGGCCCAGCCTCCAGGACTGGGGGGCGTAATATCTGTTTTTAAGCTGCCCCCTGGGGCATTTGCCATGGTGGCTGCAGGAAAG